GGCAAAAATCATTGCGGATTGATAAACCACAAGTATAAAACCATTATATTATATGAAATTAAATAGGATTTACCTAGCAAAATTTTTAAATGACGTCATGACATTTTCGGTGAGGATGACGAACAAATTGTGGTTAGTGTTTAAGCATTTGCAGGACATGATGAAATTAACCATTTATCAAATGTATCCTATTATAATACTTCTCTAGCTTAAGCTCAGGAAGTAAAAATTAGCAAGCACTTTGCAACAATAACACAAGGATGATCAGTTTTCGAATTTAAAACTTTAGATATATAAATTTAAATTTTTGTATGGAGCAGAATTTTCACTGATAGGCAGTTGAACAGTGAATGTGAAATAGTGAAGGTATTTAAAACAGAAGATCATTCACACATTTACATGAAATAATAGTTAATATTTCTTTATATTACAACTTTTTAACGATCGAATTGTTAAAATCAAAATAACGAAAAAGTGGTATTCCAGAAATACCCAGTGTAATATAAACTATTGAAATATTGTTTTTCACAAAACAACCACGCAACTATGTATATCTAACGTAGTGAAATGAATTCCAAGATTTGGTTACTTCTGAAGAGTTTTTTTTTACAAAATTTCATTTCACACAGCAAATTTAATGCAAAATACCTTTCTCGGATTTATTAAGTTTGTAGATTGTTCTAAAGGTTCATCTCGATTGCCGACTAAAATACGTAAAAATAACCACTTTTATACACAAGGTAAATTCTGCGTCAAATTAACAATATAAGCCACTGGTTTGTAGCTTAAGTTAGACGAACCGTGCCTACAATAAATAGACATATGAAAAGAAAATGACGTATGTGCTCGATAATAGCTTTGAAGAACTAGAAAAAAAAAATGGTAAACAAATCCCTGCACCAAACTTTTGAAAATATTGAACGTCAAAGTTGAAGAATTATTCCGTAATTCTGATTTGTTTTAACGAACTCCTTTGTCTAATAGACAGTCACACATTTGGTTATTAATAATTTAATGACATTTTACTGTTAAAAAGGTAACCATTCATGATTTCTGTATCAAAATTAAATTTGAAGAGCGGATCTCTAGATTTTTTAACACAAAAGTTGTGTGTTTTAGGAACTTGTCCTGTATCTTTCTACGTCTCAAGAAAAATAGTCAAAGAGAACAATTTTAGTCGCGATTTCGTTCTCCTTGCATTAAGCAAGGAGTTAAAAATGTGCAAAAAATTAAAAGTGAAAGTGGTGAACACTTCTTGTGAGTCAGTGTTCCTCGGAAATATAGCAATAAGGGAGCATCACAGCAAAAATCAACTTGTGAAATCAATTGTAAAAGCTGAAGTTGCAGATATATTACGTGCCATAAGTTTCAAAGAACACACTTAACATCTTATATTCGGTAGGTATGAAGTGTTTTCCGACATATTTTGAAAAACGAGAGAACAGTTAAAAGTTGGAAGTTGCTAGATTTGCGTACGCTTTATACTCTCGAGAAATATTTTATATAAATGTTGTGGTATTCCCCACTTTCTTTCATTCAGTTTTCTGAAGAGAGGGGGAAGAGGGCATGGACACTGTGAAGTATATATAGCTGCGCAGTTAGATCTTTGTCTTTAAACGTTCAGATCATTCGAAACGCTCGATAATGTGTGCCAGTTAGTGTCTTTATGGTGTTATTTCTTCGTTGTGATACGCCCATTATATGGTTACGTGAATTGTGGAACCCAAATATGCAAAAAAGTGACATATTCTTTCAAAAACTATAAAAGTGTATGTATTTGTAGCAAAAGATTGCAAACATTACATCAATTTATATAACTTGGTATCATTTAATTTTGGTAAAATCTGTAATCGTGTTTGTAAATAATTGCTTTTTGTTGACAGCAAATTGTATATGTACTACTAGAGAAGATTTATAATTTTGCTCATGTTTAATTAACAATAATAAGCTGAAGATACTCAAAACAGATAAGTATGAAAAAATATTGTGAAATTGCTGAAAACGTGGCTTATGGAATGGGTCTTTAAGGTGTTAAAAATCACGTTAAAGGAGGGCCATAAAACTTTCGCCAATCTCAACAATATGTTAGATATTTTTACTGTTTTGAATTTAACCCCAAGGCAACACACGACGGTTCTAATTTGGGCAAAATCATGTTTTAGATCAAAAAAACGAAGCGAAAGTAGTTTTAAAAGAATTGGCTCTGTCAGTTCTGCAGTTACAACTACAAATCAATATTTTTATATCTCATCTAGTTACGTAGTAGTGAAACAGAAATTTCTACGGCTTTGAAGACATTTTGGAAAGTTAAGTTTTTGTTCCCAATGGGAAAATTGCCTTTAAATAAGCAAACTCGACAAGAATATGAACTTTATTAATTTTTGAATTTTTATGTTGAGTTTTTAATGTTTCAGACATTGTACCTAATTATTTTTTTTTTTGAATTTTTAGATTTTTGATAGTGACTGTTCCATAAATTAATAGCTAAGAATAATATTTTTCAGTAAGATATCTTAGAAGTAAACCAATGATGCTGAAACAGAATTTAAAAACCTACTAGCTTAAATTGTAGTCAAGTATTTATGTGTATGTATTTGTATTATTTATTTTTCTCTAAATATATCATAAAGCAATAATTCATAGAAGAATATGATGAGTGATGACATTGAATGCCAATATGTATGATTCAAATTATTGTGGCTAACCTAATCCGTCACTAAACTGTAAGAGCTGTTACAAGTAGTATAAAAGCATTATTATTATTATTACCTACGAGTGTAAATTATGCTCTAACCGAATTATATAATCTCACGTGTGTGATAAATTTGCTTTAACCTTCGTGTCTACAACTACAGAATTTGTCTAAAATAAATTTACCTGAATAACAAAAATGTTTGTTATAAAGTCATATTTTAAAAAAAATATGGACGCCGTTTGAATCGATTAATAGGGTTAAACACACCAATTTCATAAGGATAAACACAAAAAATAAACCAACCCTAATTTTGAACATAAAAATTATCAAATAAATTAAACCCCGATGATAACAAAATTGGTAGAAGTTTATTTCGACAGAACTGCCGTCGCGCCTGCCTAAAATTTGATTTTGCGATTTGCGTTTTGTGATAACCGTTGTAAAGTAAAAAGCATCGGCATAAATAAAACCCCCGAAGCTCCTGCCTCGTGAGAGCGCAAATTCCAAAGAGACGCTGCATAGTATGGACAATGTAAAATATATTGAAAGCAATTAACATGGGGAAAAATGTCTTCTCCAGCAATAATAGCATGCTTGGCTTCGAGTGTTTATGTTTCTACATCGAAATAGAAATTTGTTTCATCTAAATGAGTTTGTCTCCTCAAAACAGAGGCCTAAAATTAAGCGACAATCGAACAAAATGTTCTGAGTATTATAATTTTTTTTTTTATTTTATCATTATTAAATAAAGACGTGCGTGTTCTCATATTTTTGAGAAAAAAACAGGGTGACTCGTGCTTAATTTGATCAATAAAAAATTTATGATGGCGTGATCAAATAGGAGTCACAGGGCAAGAAAAAAAAAGAAACCGACAAGTTCGGTGTGGAACGTGCGAGCGCCGGTTCACGTGCTAACCCCTAAGCCGCAACTCTGGACGATTATATTCCGTGTTAGTGGTAAAATGTTATTATATTGTGTTTTTTTGCAAAAATTTGGCCGTTAAAGGAAAAACGTCAAAGCGGATTCGTACACCAGAGGTATAGGAGTGTACTGTTGTACAACATTGAAGTCATTTTAAAATAGAATCCCTTGAGATGACGTCATCTAATTGTTGGTGGGAATGATTAGCCAAATTTTGGTTAGACTTTTACCTAGTTTGATATTCCTCATATAAATACACAATGTAACAACAATCGGTCCGGTAGTTTTGGAGATGAAAAGAGGAGGAAACATGAAAGTGGCAAGTCGATGGATTCGATTACTTTACCTACTTCCTTAGCTTACGCTCAGGAAGTAAAAATATAAAATCTATCGAAGTCAAAGCCAAAAATATATGATTTCCCTTCAGCTATGAAAACAGTTACTGCAAATATGTAAGTAATGAATTGTATAAATTATTTTTTGTATCTGCGCTTATCATGACTGGTTTTGAAGATAGCATTTGGGTTTTATAAATATTTTCAACATTATCATCGAAATCTGAAATAAATCGTCAAATATGGTGTCACAAGTTTATATCTGTAAAGTCTATAAATATTTCACAGTTGTCGAAAATAGAAGACGTAAAATGTTAAAGGCAAATCAAGATTTTATTAATTTTCCATTCAGTAAGCAGTAACACGAAAATTCCGCTTAAAATATATTTACGATGTTATTACTTAAAATATCTACTATTACACTCCAGAATGCAATTTAAAGATACAATTTTCGGCAGTTTCTGTATCTTGTGCTTGCTTTTTGTATTTATTTCCTACCATTTAAGCAACAAAAAAACGAGACATTATTATGTGCACCGAGCTTCCAGTCTCGAAGTATTGTTTTCTTACACAATACTTAACTTTCTGCGGAATCATAACTTAAATAACAGAGTACAACTCTGCAGGACATTTAAGTTGTTTTCATCCACATATAGTAAGCCATCCAGTACCAAGCAGCATTGTAACTCGAAGTCGTATCTCAACATCAGCTCCGTTTCCGTTTACTAAGAAGCACATTATGTGGAAAACATTACGCCTAACCATTTTAACGAACGTACCCTTTAAATTCCTCAGTTATTATGGAAGAAGCACGTTAGTAAATCAAGCGTCGTCCTCTAATTAGTGCGCTGCAAGATGCCTAACGACCACCAACGTAAAAACCTCTTCACTGTCGGCTGCAATATAGCCAATACTGACCTGAATCGCAAACGAACGAGCCAACGCCGAAGGCTCTTATCAACTCGGACCGTAAAAATGCAATAGGATATATCGGTATCAGTAAAAGGCTCTGCAGTCGGTCTTTCCGAGACGTCTAATCTAATCACTGATGGATATTCCTGCCGCTAGCTGCAGACACAGTGAAAGCTGGGCTACAGTTAACTTAGTTACCGCCACCCTCGCCTTGCCGCCTCCCTTGTGGTTACTGGAAACGCATTACCTTCGCCGCAAACACAACTCAGACGACGTGTTTGAAAGCCCGTCAACAAGTATTTCTCGGCGACGGTGAAATGCTAGATGAAGTTGGAGAAGTCGGATTCAGAACGTCACGGTATCTAATAACACCACGGTTTTTGTGATGTTAAAAGTGACAGTGCGTGATTTCTGAACCAGTCGAAGGATTAAAGGGGTTAATAGGAGTTACGGTGGAAGTAGCTAAATTTAGTTTAACTAAAATACCAAACTCTGACTTGGAGTAAAGAACATCGGCAGGCTAAGCCTTGGGTGGTTTTCCTAGGAATTAGGATGAATTTAGGTTAGGAAGTTAGATCATGCATTTAGTCAGGGTCGTTGAGAGCTTAGTTTGATAATGCAAATGGAAGAACCTTTAATAAATGTTAACAAAGAAATCTAAAATACTTGTATGTTTAAGTCAGATATTGCAACAAACAATACATACATTCATGTTGCGGGAGCAATTGGCCCAAAAAACGTTGTTGAAAATTATTATTAAGTATTATATTTTCTACAAAAAAAAAAAAATTATGCTATATTTTTCCCGACCAGGAGAAGAAATTGTGTTCTAGGATCCCAAAATCAAGATAGAAGTGAAATCTGTTATGATAGGAAAATTAGAAATATTTTAAGAAGTTTTTATTATATATAGTAAAATTATAAATTCAACTGTACTTATTAATATTAACTGTAAACGATATAAATTTAAAGTTATTACTAAAGTCAACTGGAGGAGTACGACTTAAAGAAACAGATCTTTATTATAAGTTACATACATTAACAATTTAGTGGACACTATATTGGGACCTCGTAATATTTGATTTACTATATTAGTTTTAATTTCTATCGAATATTATTAGGATCAGTACCCACCAAATTGGAGAAGAGCTGCGTATACCGCGATCGTATATGTATTTGCATTAGGTAAATCCAAGGAGGTGGCGACCAAACTTGGTATTTTTTTCATGCGTGTTCCTACTAATTATTATTATAGAATACATTTTTATGCTTTGTAGAATGAAAAAATCGTCGATGTAGTATGTTTATGTATTGTATTATTTTTTCTTTTTAAGCACGACATGACTTCTGGAGTACCAAAAAAAATGGTCTCGCGTTCTCGACTGTCTGTCGTCTGTAGTCTGTCTGTCTGTCTGTCTGTCTGTCTGTGTCTATTTTAATCAAAATCGATCTAATAAGACATTATCTTCGCGACCAATTATTGTTATCAAATCTAAATGTATATTAAGAATATCATGTGGATGATAAAACCAAAATTTGGCTGATCATCCCCACAATCGAGTTGAAAACGTCCACTCAAAATATTTTTTAGTAAGTGTCATTGAAATGGTATAAAATAACATACTCTTGTACTTGTGATTTATGATTCCGCCTTGAGTTTTTACCCTAGGCATCAAATTTTTTCAAAAAAATGTGTATTTTTTTACAAGTAACATTAAATCAGTTTATCAAAAATATAATAATAGAAATTTGAACCTTTTTTTAGAACATTGTTTTCGAAAATGATCACATAGTAATACGTTCAGAAGTGTAGCTTCAGCAGCTTTATTAATTTCTTCAGGTTCTTCCGCTTCAAACAACTTGTATTCTTTTGCACCCATTGTGAGTTCAAAGACTGCAGGGATGCTTAACTTTTCAATCCGCCAACATACTTACTAAACTTTATGACTTGATGATACCTCGTATACTGTTCTTTATTTACCTTTCGCAAATTTTCAAAAAGATTCTAGGTAATCCTGCAGAAAATGTAATTTGACAGTCACTTTTATTGCTACCTAAGAAGTGTTAAACAACCTATTAATATCTCCTTAGCATTATTGTTGATTTATAGTTATTGTTTTAAATTGTAATCTTTTGCAATTTTTATTTTGTTCAAATTAAAAAAATCCATTCTGAATGTTTTGATGTTTTTGTGATCGCTGGCACAGTCCTCTCTCAATTTATAGATGTTTCCGAATCACATAACAGTCAATAACTATTGTTGTGGTCAATCATAATTGGGAGAATAGAAATATTCTGGGGGTAAAGGTCTACCCATTTCGAACTTGTTACATACCTAGATTGCCGATTTATATTCTGTTCATTACACTTGCACCTAATAAAATTTTATGGTTGATAATGATAATGCTCTCGTTATAATGGGATGGAAGACAGGTCACTGACAGGATTCACGCCTTGAATACTTTCTGGTCAGGATCGGACTTTTCTTATTTCAAACTGCAAACTAGCTACATCTTTCACATTTAGTAATGATTAATGACAAACAAAAAGAAAACTAAGGTACCACAAAAATTGTAAATGTTGAATTCATTAAAATGTAAATTTCACTTCGGTGCGGCAAATATCGCACCATATCACATATATTTTTTAAATAAGAATTTAGTCCACTTATAGAAATAGTAAAAAGACCCCGAAAGAACCAAACTTGGCACAAAATGTCGAGAATTTTATTGGCACTAATTCTAACTTTGACTTTTTTTGTTTCAGGTGGGTATGGAATCTTTTCTGACGAACTACAGAAATTAGAAATTAGTTACAGACAAAAGGGTAAGTCGTCATCTGTAGACGAAATTTGTGTTCATTTACATTTTGTATATATAGTAGCAAAAATGGGTAAACAGATTAATAAAATAAAAAAAATAGTCGAAGGTTATTTCGCCAGAACTTTCCTCGTCCGTAAAGTACGGTCGAATTGTTCTTTTTTAATTTAACTCCCAGAATTTTATTTTTTTATAATGAGCCCTATGGGTTGAAATTAATGTATTTGTGGATTGTTAAGGTACGGATAAAGAAGCATCGTACGCAGTGTTTCTAGTGAGTTTTTTCATAGATATATATTATTTTTATGGTGTCATCAACATTTTAGCATGGACACGTACATCAATTTGAACGTAAGTGTACATTGCAATACTATTAATAACGGTACTGTACCCTCAAATTTTCTTGGACCCCAAAGGTTGGAAAAGTACCGCTAAATAAAACACAAAATATATGGAGGAAAAAATCATATGTATTCCTCCACTGACAAAAAAAAATCTGCAAACTAAAAACGTTCTGAATCAATGCAAATATTTGAAAATCACAAATTTAATAAAAACAAAGAAAAATCTGAATTAAAGTAACTGGATGCAAATACACAAGTTATTACGGACGTGTGGTGGCAAATTTAAAATTATGGCAGTCAACAAGATAACAAAATTTTAATAAAAACACTATGCAGCGGGGCGCACAGCGACAGTGGCACCAGAGCGCTATACGAGTATGGCGATCGAACTATATCAATTTCATTCTAGAACACAGCAAAATTACCCATAAATGGCGTTGTAGCAAACGCGGAGTTTGGGGCTCCTGGTTGTGGCTGTTCTCTCACCACGACAGTGATTCTACTCTATCGGGAAGCACTACCGCCCATTTAACAAAGAAACGTGCCGCACTAGCAGGCCGTTACGGTCGCAAACTCGTGGTTGGAAATCCCAGCTACTGGGCCAAGTCGCGAGCGTCACGTCATCCCGACCGCTCCCGTGACTTCTATTCAAGATCCGAGTATTTGTGCAGATGGCGCGATAAATCCTGCCAGCCCGACCAGGAACCGCGCCCTCCGCTTCTGCCACATGTTTTTGTGTTATTTACCTAAATTCCATTTAAATGTTCACTTTCAATGACTCTGATATTAAACTACGAGCGAACAAGTGTTAAAGCTTCAACAAGGGCAATAAACAACATTTAATTCGCCATACACTCCCGTGATATTTGAAACAGCAAAGAATTCTCATCTGAGATCAAGATTGGACATCAGAGAATTTATATGATGGAAGGATTAATCAAAAAAATATTTCGATGGTCAAAAACTAGCAAAAATTTATAAAAAACAAAAAAAAAAGATCTGGTGTGAAGTAAAACTTAAGCAAACAAAAAATGTACGTGATGTTAGGGACTGCAGAGCACGAAAATTTACGTTCAATTTAAATTATACAACAAAGAACATGACTGAGGCTAAGATTGTGAGCAGGGAAAAATCGCATGAGGTGAAAAATTGCAAAGCTAAAAAAATTACATAAGAGTAATATTTGCCACACTTTATCAACGATACAAACAAAGAATTTACATTATGTTAAATCATGCCGCACTTTATCAACAATTCAAACAAAGATTTACATGATGTTAAATTATGCTACACTTTATTAACGATTCAAACAAATAATTTACATCATGTTAAATTATGACATAATCCAAGTGACTGGTTACTTAAAAACATTTAGCTTTGAGAGTTTATATCGTGTACTGTCCCCATGCATCCCGCGTCGCGAGAAAAGGTGATCTGATTTCCAACGTCGGAAGAAATATGTCTCGATGATGTAATGATGATATGATGATAACTGCCTAAGGGGAAAAATTTAATCTCCCCGACCTTGAGTTCACGATATTATGAATTCTACTGCACTTTCCACGGTCGTCTCCCAGAGTGGGACAACGTTAGGTTGACTTAACTGCCGTAAATGAACTATTAGCAATCTTGTGTGCGGAATTAAGAAGTGTTATAATGTAACACTTTAGGATAAGCATCCAGAAACCTTATTTATAACTTGATAAACAAAGGATAAGTCCTGATTAAGTGAATCTAATGAAATCTCCTAGCAAGTGCTTTATCTGAACAATCTCATGACTGTTAAATTGTGTTAGTAACGATTAAAATCCTAACATGAACTGTGAATTTAAAAGCAATAAAACAAATTTACACCACGTGTTGGCGTCGGTCGAAATGTCGCATATTTCCGCTTGGAAAAACCCACAAGAATTAGCTATACGCTTGTTGGGGAAACTGTAGCATTGCAATCAGTTCGTTAATTTTCGTTAAACAAAGGCTCCCCCTTTTTATTAACTACCAAACCAACTAAACTTAATCTAGCTTCCTTACCACGTGCTTTCACTCATCAAACTAAAACAACAGTGACGCCACAGAACAGAGACGCATCTCCACCTTCTACCAAGCAAGCCAACTTCTACCAACCCTCCTCACTAGCTACTACCCAGAAATTTCCTAGGAGAGCTACCAACTACCAGAACACTAAACTTGGACATGGTTGCCTATGTTTAACGATTTTCTTAATTATTTTTTTTTTTTCAAATTAAAATTATTCAAATGCGATTTCGCGCCGTTTTTTTTCAGCGCAAAATTTAAATTCAGATTTTGTCACCACAATGTTTATTATTTAAAAAGTAATTGGCTAATTTATCTAAAAAAGGATTACCTTATTCTTAAAGTCCATGCCATTTTCGCTCTAGAAAATGAAAATAACCTAGTACTGTTTACAAAAAAACTCAACATGTGCTTTAAAACACAGTTTATTGGCGAAGGTAACGCCGAATCACTTCACAGAGTCACACAATTTTTTTTTGGTACCTTGAAAAAGTAGTGCGTTAGTATGTAACTGATCATTTATAGCGCATTGCGAGTGAAGAAGTCCGAGATAAGCTTGTAATATTTCACATTGAGCTTCAATTTCCACAGATTTTGAAATCATACACATGAAGTCAGTAATTTAAAGAAAAGCGATGTGCTGTATCAATGGTCAATATTACTAATAGCAAAGGTCCAAGCACAAAATTGTGAGAATTACCACCTGAGTATTTGTATTTACATACGAGATTTGAAGCCTTGATATTTTACATATTTTTCTAATGAAAAACGTAACACATCAAAGGTTTTTGAAAAATCGCAACTTGTTGATAGTCAAGAGCACGTGAAAGAACATCACAAAATTCACAAAATCTTGTTTAGACAATAATTGTGATCCACATGGGAAAATACAGATTAATGAATCATAATTTCATAGATTTCTGCAAAGAGTGATAATGATAATAGATATTGGATAATGGAGCGGTGTTATACGGTCGTGTCAGAGCTCTGCAAAATCCTTTCTATGTCCTTTACAACTAATACTGGTGTTAGATTCGACAATGTCATGAATCTATGTACTTATTCTTTAAGCTACTGACTACACACAGAACATTCATCACATTTTTTTTCAAAACGGAATTTATGATGAAAAATGTTTTAAATAATGAAGGTGTATTCTAAGTTACCATGAAACACAAAGTCAAAATGTGAAGCTAGGACGCTTGTAATATTGAATCTGGAATACACGTAAATAACCATAAGTTTTCAAGATGTTCTAGCACAGACTTTGACACAGACAAGACGAATGCTAGATTTTATAAGATTTCTGTATTATATAAGATTCCTCATTAGTGTATCTATCTATATATTTTGAATATGTTTTTCAACTCTTATTAGTCTTTTAACGTAAAAAGAGAATATAGTTTTTTTCTTTGATATAATGGATGTGACATTTGCATGATATTGTCAATATTGTTACAATTAACATCATTGGAATTGTAACACAATAGCAAGAAAATTTGGGTCACAGGACGCCAAGAATCGCTAATCAGTTAGCAACCAAATAAAATGAAGACTTAATTATACAACTTATCATTTTTTTAGCTATTGTTTTATAAATGATTCGCTTAGCAATGTACATTCGACTATACAAGCAATTAACTATAAGTACAACACATAAATTATGCACACCTGTGTCATGAATATTAACATTATGTATATACCGGTGAACTTATTTAAATCAGCATCCTGGCTCCGATAAATCTGAATGGTTGTCTCCGTATCGGAATTTAATATTATTTGTGCATTCGCATAAAAACTCGACTGAAAAACAAAACGTACGAGCATACAATTTAATAATATAGCCATTCTGCCAAATAAACTACGGATAAAATGCGATTGGCATACCATTAAATAACTCTGGCGCACGCAATCAGCCCGTCAATGCTAAAATACGCTCAACGGCCGTTGTAATTTCTTACTTCTGGAAGTCACATTCAGTTTTCACTTTTTCTTTTTTCGAAAACGGTTTACACACGCGTAATTAGCCAGTTTATGATGTACGATGAGTTCTGAGTTGTTACTTCGGATAATGGTGGTTCGTAAAAGTCAATTAGAAAAAGTTAAAGGCTTAAGAGATTTATTCGTTTTAAAGAGATTTAGTTGTAATTATGAAGGTATAAACGGCAATTGGTTCAATTATTTTTGTTGATTTTATTTACAACTAAAGAAAATAAACTGGTTGTCGGTCGGATTATAGCCTTGGAACTTTTTACCAATATTTTCGTAATTACCTTATAACGTCGCTTTAATTACTCTCCGGAAAGCTTTTGATGTAACTTATTTTTAAATGCTTTATGAGCGGCATACATAAATCATTCGGTGATTATAACTTTTCATGCTTTGAATGTATCTTCATCATAAAATTTCAACGTTACGCAGACAGAAAAGACTCGTTTATTCGTTCAAATTTTAATTATTGCATTTACTTGCTTATGATGCAAATGCTCGCCTGCCGACTCTTCTTTTTACGTTTTATTTAGCGCCGGTTTAAAATTAATTGGTTGTTTGTTCAGATCCGGCATTCAACGTTTTTAACTTAATTAAAACACTGTTTTGTTTCCAACTATTTTGCTTGCAAATTCCTCATTTCCACCCCATCGTGTTGTGTCTGAGGATCTCTCCTTTCACGCCAAAGTCTGCTCGAAACTCAACAACAGTTAATTGTTTCGGCTTATTATGGCTTTAAAGTCAGGTAATAATTTATTAAGGAGAGAACTACCCTCTTATTATCGACAGACAATGCGGTGGTAAAGATCTCGCTAAACGCTTAGGGCAAAAGCCAAAGATCTCGGGCTCACATTAATATCATTCTAACGAGGAACTTACACAATGCCAGATTTATCATAGGCGAGGCTTTAGATGCGCAAGCACGAAATTGTTTCAGGGCCTTTAAGCCCTTGCCGTTATCTGGTAAATGTTGTGTTAATTTAAAGCTGGCAACCAGAAAACGCGTGAGGGCTTCACGGGGTGTCAGATTTAAATGAGCGACTCTAATTTATTTCATTATCAAAAAGGTCATTTGCATTGCCAAGTAGGGATTTGACAAAAGAAAGAGGCTTAGCGAAGTTTTTAGATCAAAAATTTTAAATTAATTACGATATGAGGTATAAAATCTACTTTGTATCCATCTCTTTCCGAACTCCGAAAATTCTTTGAGAGTAACTGATCATAAAATCAACTTACTAGATAGTTTAATTAAATTTTTTTTTTCAGTCACACATATTTAGAGGATATATACAATCATGTTACATTTTTTGTTTTTACTATTTTAACGAACGGAATATGCAAAGAGCTGAAAACAGGTTCTATTTTCAAATGCAAATTCCATTTAAAAACCTTAGTTCTTTGCATTCAGAGTGCGTCCAGTTAATTGTATGTTTAGCTGCACAGAAAACAGAATCTTTTAAGACCTAAATATAAAACTCTCTTGCGTGTTAATCCTCCCTGCACAAATTAAATCCCAGAAGAATTACGATAAAGACGTCTATGAAAAAGAAAGCCGTGTTTCAAGGAATCAGTTTTCCTTTGGAGGAGCTGTTCCACATTCAACAGAAAATATAAACCGTTATTTTTAACAGGATGTTTTCTTGTGACGTTTATTATATAAAAAAAGACGTTTACGACATCCTCTTGAACTCCTGTAGTAGTTTTAA